AACCAGTCTCATCTTCAAGTTATGTTGCTGAAGATCAAAGATATAAAAGCTAAGATATGGGAGAAAAAACTGGATTGATAAAAGTGATACTGGTTCTTTCAAGCGGAGTGCTCATGAACGATCAACAGACAAAGTGAGGTAGCGGAAGCTCAAAAGCTTGAACAGAGGTATTCATCTACATGCTAATGCAGCACCGCTGCTCCCTACGAGATCCCTCTTGAAGCTTTTGCGCTATTTTTCCCGCACAGACAGAGCACCCGAAGCCTCATTGGCATGGTTTTATATTGAAACACTCTGCAAATGATGATTCTGTTGAGCTATCTTCCAACTTGCATTGAGCCTCATCTGGCTCATCACCTGGAGATATGCGCGGCCCCGAAGAACGAAGTTTTGCCGAGAAATGTTGTGTTGAGATCCGGTTGTCTTCAACCTCGATTGCTTTATCTAAGCTACGGAGATCATCGCCCGAGCCACCATCACTAGGTACGTACAACTTCATAGTTACATACCTCCAGAGTCCACAGCCCTCACGATTGCCTCAGAATATTCGAGAGGAATATTCGAGGCAACGAGGTCGCATTGGGCGGAGCGTGAAAAGCGCGTCCGCTCAGGCTGCGGATGGCTCGCCCCAGCTATAAGACTGATTTGGGGGAGCTTTTGGTGCCATATAGCCCTGTATACGGCTCAGACATATATGGCCACAACCCGGTCTAGACTGCGCTGAGGGCCCATGGGGATAATTGGCCATTTCAGGGTGTCTATCCAGGCCAAAGAAGAAGAAGATACCTTGGTTATTTTCACTAATGGTTTGGTAAGAGAGAATGGATGTGGAGAAGCTGTGGCATCAACCCCAATCATTAAATCTAGCTCAAGCATGCAATCAAAAGGCTGCTTAAACCATGAAGCTGAACTAGAAAGCATCCTACTTGTCACAACAATTTTTTTAGGAAAAAAGTTGACTCTCCTTTAGACATGGTGATATCTAGCAACTACCAAGGGGGATTCACAATGTCCCAAGAGCTGCTTTGGGATCTGGGGATCAAAGTTTGTACAAAACTCAGATTAATATGTACTTAAGAACACAAAAAATGTATTTATATTGGACTCTGGGTCATGTACAACTGGAACTGAATAAAGGTCAGGTGGATCAAGTAGCGGGAGAAGCAGGAGAAATTTAAGCACAAGGCATCATCTGACCAACAAGTTAGGTTAGCTTAAAGAAAAGAGCAAAAGAAGACAGTAATTGGAAAAATCTCACAGTAGGCCTGGTGAAAATGCTTGCAAAGACAAACCAACATACCTTGACAAAGCAATGAAATGCATGAAAAAGGAACGGACAGCAACAGCAATGATCTTCCATTTGCAATTGGGCTACAGCCCTTTCAACACTGATATCTTCAAAATAAAACTTGGGAATTCACCTTTATTAGAAGTTTGTGGCTCAAATGAATCAGCTGAACTTTTCTTTTGTATTGCAGATGCTATAGAAAAGCTAGAAAACAACTACAGGCCAAGATCTGGAAATAAGTAAATAAATTTCAGCAGGGCAATGATACTAAATTGTAAGATATCCCAAAAGCTCTCCTTTTATTATCTGTGTCAGCCCTTGAGTGTTTAAGCCTAAAACACCAGAAGGACTTCAGTCAAAGAAACTATAATATTGTATATAATAATCCACGAAAAGCATAAAATATATATATTTCCACCTTAAGAATCTAGTATCAAAGATTCAATAAATACACCTTAATTGACCTAGTTTCAAAGGTCTAGAAAAGAACACATAAATATTACCTAAAAACATATTCTCAGGCTGAAATAAG